GGTACCAGGAAAAGTGGACCTGTCCCCAGGGTCCAGCCAGGCATGAAGGGCACAGAGCATTGAGCAGGGAGGGTCAGTCAAATATCACCCGCCACGTGTGAGAAATGGGTAAAGGTGTGTGTGTCACCCCTCCATATGTTTGTGGTGGGAGTGGGGGGGGTGTCACCCCTCCCCATGTGTGTCCCCTGGCGAGTTCTGTGTGCCCCCCCCACTGCAGCATGTGGGCCACTGACCCTCTCTTGGCTGGGGCAACACAGACTGGCAGCTGCACTCATGTTTCTGGTTCATTTTGGTGACTGGTTCTGGGCGCAGGCTGTTTTGTCTTCGAGGCCTGAACCTCTGCCCACTGCAGCTCTGCCATTGCTGGTGCAGGGCAACAGGACCATAGGCACTGGATTTTCAGTGCCATGTGCCTGGCCCTAACCCTGGCAGGGGCACCAGTTCACATGGCAGTGGATCTGTGGAACAGCAAGGTCTGTGCAGTCTGCCACACTGGGTGCTGGTTGTGGGCAGCTCGTGCAGAGTCCTGGGGTAGCATCCTGATTGGCACCAGTGCTGGCGTGGGAGTGTGTGGGATGCAGGGTCCTGTCTGCTGCCTGTCCTGAAGCCAGACGAATATGAATAATGACACTGTAAATAAAATGTATTAAAGTTTTTCATGTTTTTTATTTTTAAAATGTTTTAAACAGTTTTAAATTTGCCCCAATTTCATACAAAAACATAACTGAAGCACTAATAATTCATATGAGAAATGTGAAGGGTGAGATAGTGTGATGGTTTCCTTTTAACGGGAGCAGCACATGGCTGATGTTTTGGCCAGCTTTGGCTTTTGTTAGCTGTTTTTATCCACTGTGTTTTATTTTGTATTTTTTTCTTTTAGAATTTATTTTATGTACACTTCTGTATATGCTTTTTGCCCTAGGGCTACCATTGCTGGTACCCTAGCGACAGCTGTTTCCATCTGCAATTTAAATCTGTAAATGTAAATAAAACTTGTACAGCTGTGTGCTGTGTCAAAGACAACTTCTATGTCAATCCCCTGTCTTTTACAAACATTCCCCCTGGGAGCCCACAAATATGTTTGGTGTTGGGTCCACAAAAGGTTAATCAGGTCCTGAGTGTGGACAGTGCTATGTCGGCAGGAGAGCTTCTCCCACCAGCATAGCTACCGCCTCTCAAAGAAGTGATTTTATTATGCCAATGGAAGAGCTCTCTCCTGTTGGCATAGAGTGTCTTCACCCAACGTGCTTCAGTGGCACAGCTACACTGGTGCAGCTGCACCGTTGTAGCTTCTAGTGTAGACTAGCCTTAAGTGTCTCACCTTTGTATGTGGCATCAGTTTAAACTGGTGCAATTGATCTCAGCTATATGCTTTAGAATGCGATTTTGCTCATAACCAGGGATTCTAGTTTTCCCGTGTTAAAAATATCAAAATTCTCCAATAAAAAAATATAAATATTGCATATTTTTCTGCAATTAAAATGAAATGATGAACTTTAGTTTCCCTAGTCACAATATATATAGGTATCAATTGAACTAGGGTGACCATAAGCCCCGTTTTGGGCAGGAGTCCCCTTTTTAAGCCCTGTCCCAGACATCCTGACTTTTTGGCAAACCTGGGCATTTGTCCCATTTGCTCTTGCCAACTGAGCAGCAAACAGGAAGAATGAGTAGTTTTGCCAAAAAAGGGGTGTGCCCCCATGGGGGCGCAGAGGAACGTATAGGGGGGCAAGCGACGACAGGGCTTGGGCCGTAATCCCCAGCCCAGGACACCTCAGACCAGCCGTGCATAGTCTCTCATTTTCACTTTGGGAAATAGGGTCACACTAACTTTCAGCAAAATTTAGTTAATAGTTAATATATGTTTTTATTTTTTTTCACAAAATGTAAAAACTAAAGATTCTCTGTAAAAATGCAAAGTCTATTTTTTTCCACATTTTTTCCATGGCAAATGGATTTCTAGGATCTCTGCTCATAACAAGCAAAGCACTGTGGCACAAATACTGTGTATTACAGAGATATATGACGTTTGTTTTATACAATGGCATTTATACATATTAATCCTATGGAAGCATGCAAAGCCCTGGAAAACAAAGGCAATGAAGACTGAATGAAAAGGACTTAAATGATATTCTTGCAATCTTATAAGCTTTGTAAACTTTATGTTCAAGTACACTTGTGTATTAATGACACCCGAGTTCCAGAAACTCTACACCACAGCTGTTTGGTTAAGTCATTCATAATTCCCTTTCATCTTTTAAGTTTTAAACGCAACATGTTTACAAACGTAATGTATTAGTTTCAGAGTTTTCCGTAACCTGAAGGTTCTTATAATAAGAGCATGTTTCACCTACTAGATCAACTTGATACATAGTGTCCCTGTCTTCCAAGGTAGTTTTATCAGCCCCTAGAGGCAACCAAACTACTAGGACTGCTTCAAAAACGCCATTAGTAGTCCAGAGTGATTTGGTGATTTTAAAGGGTCAATATTTTTACAAGCTGTTTCAGCTGTAAAGTTAGCTATTCCCAGAAGTAGCAGTGTTTCTAAATTCCTGGGGTGAGCCAAGTCCAAACATTATAATATGCTTTACCTAATATTTTCCTCATACTTGACATGTTATTCCTATTTGTATTTCTATTTTTATCATGCTCCACTGCATAGCTTAAAAAACTGGTAAAGAACTTAAGAAATTTTCCTCATCAATAGGTTTTAAATAATTACTTAATATGAAAAAATACTGGAAAAAACATTGTATAGCTAAGTAATAAGCATCAACTTCATTTTAACAATTAAAGCAACGCTGACATCTAGTGGCAACCTGAACGATAGTATAAAATAGGTAGGATTACATTTTTAAAATGTGAAGTGTAAAATAAAAAAATAAGTTATACAATAATAGGAAACTTTTAGAGCAGATGCAAACAGTGCAGTGACTTTTAAAACACTGCAAGAGACATTCATTGTAGTTCAGTAAACAAAATAAATACAGGTGACAAGTTTTATTTTTTCAATTTTAAAACTCATTAACTGTAAATGCTTAAGATGTATATCATCAGGGACTTAACTTCAGTATGGTCTGAAGGTGATGCCCTTGAACACATTCTTTCAAATGGAAGTCTGAACTCCAAATTTCAATGCACAGAGATTTCAAAGGTTTTTCCCTTCAGTGACCAATACTCATGGTCTTATTCACAATGGTTGAGGGTACTGTATTTGAAAGTGATGACAGGAGAATAGAGACACAAGGAATACAAAGAGGTTTGCTGAACTTTTTTCTGCATTTTGCTGCCTTTTTTTCCACCCCCCTCTATCAGGTTCTGGACATAAGTTTTAGTTTGCTATCGTTTTCCTCACTTCCTGTCCTAAATCGTCATGTGGACTGTTAAGCAGGCATTGTTACATCTGAAAACTGTTTCCATTTCAATCTAGGATGAAGGGATCATTTTTCTAAAGCACTTCAGGATCCTCTTGGAAAAATAAACCCAATACTAAAAAAAACCCCACTTTAGTTCATTCAGAGGTGAGAGTTGCTCCCAACTACAAGACTATTGCCTTCTTACGGGATGTTAACCTCTCTTCCTTCCCTTGTGTAAACAAGCATGTCTTTATTCCCTCTTGATGAACATATCTATGCTAACTCTTATTGACTTTTCTGGCTCCCAGCCAGCGACATTCTGAGGTGTCAGCATTAACAAAGTTTACCAGGAATTCATTTTTAATAGCCACACCTTGTTCCTGCCATTGGATCCATGCAAATATAACCATGCGAGGAACCCACTGAACTTAACGGGGGCTCCATGTGGTGCAAGGACTGCCTGCATGGATGCAATTACAGAAATGTGGCCTGAAAAAAGGGCAGTTAGAACATATTTAATTAATATAGTATTGATCAGCTCAGGTAAATACATAATTAGGAAGCGTTTCATACAAGGGCAGCAAGAATCCTAGAGATTTAGTGCACATAGCATTTTTTTCAATAACTTTTTGAACCCAGTTTACTAGAGACGAAAGTTCAGTTCAATAACCCCACCACAGTATGTTACTTCACAATTTCATTCTAAATATAAACTTTTATTTTAAAAGATCAAAAAATGAGGAAGAGAAATTTTAAGATCTTTGAACAACTATGTTTTAACAAGTCAATTTTAGCTCTAAGCTAAGTTTCTGTGATCCAAATTTCTGACTAATGTTCATTCTAAACCAGTGATAATACATTTATGTGATAAAAATGCAGACAAAAGCTATACCGAAGCAAATGAAGATGCATTACAAATGTTAAGGTGTGCCCCTGAAAGTGATCCTACATATTAACTTAAACTGATGTACCTACTTCATCAGAAAAAACATAAAAAACTTTTTTTTCTTCAAAAAAAAAACAACTTATACCATTAGACCCTATTTGTAAGCTTTTTCCATTCAACAACTTCTTTTATCATTTCAAATCAAATTCCACCCACACAAAAACAGTTGTTTTATAAACACTATTCACTACAGTATGTAATTCAGCATGAAAATCCCACTTGGTGATCATCATCATATGCCATCAGTGATAGCCTGGAGCTTAAACAATTTCTTCAGAAAATGCACAGAGAAGAGTAAACAAATGTATTCTGAGGGCGTGTCCTCATGGTTCGCTAGTCTGCATTAGAAGGGTGTAAATTCTAGCATGCACTAGCATGTCGTGCACTAACTGGGCTATGTGGACTCTTCTAGTGTGTACTAAAAACTCCCTAATGTGCATTAATGTAGTACTGTTTTAAACAGTACTACATTAAATGTGCACTGGGGAACTTTTAGTGCACAACAGAAGGGTCCACACATGGCAGTTAGTGTGCATTACAATTTACAGCTCTCTGATATAGACTAATACACTATGTAGACAAGCCCTGAGATAGGTTAACAAAATAAAATGGATTATAAAAATAGGCTCAGCCAAAAGGTAGTAAAACGTTGTACAGACATATGCAAGAAGCACGCAGTATATTTTATCTACACATACCTTTCCAAGCTCTTCAGCCTGTTTTAAAATATTGCGCACTAAATCTTCTGCTCTTTTTGAATGAAAAGAGTTACTTTGACTCTGGATGACAAATACAATTTCTTGTAATTCTGTGGAAAAGGAAATAAAAATATTTAAAGAAAACAGAAATAAATGTAAGTTCTGCACCACTGCTAAAGAGAACTTTGAGGGGGGAAAAGCAAGACATAAAAACATAACTGATTTATTTAATTAATAATAAAAATGCATAAACATACATAAAATTGTTTATTTTCTTAAACAGCCCCAGTTTTAACTGTTTGCGTGTATGAAAGTAGAACTCTAAATTTGTCACGGTATTATAGAATTGACAACCTCAAGAGATAAAAATCATGATACCGGCCCCCCAAAACATGAGATTTTAAAACCCATCAAATCATGGGTTTTAGTCTGTCTTATATTAATCACATAAGCAATAATGTTAAAATATGGAATTGATTTAGCCTTTTGCAAGAGGCAACACTTCCCTGACCCCCTCCCACTTCTCTACCTGAGACTGTGCAGCACTCACTAAGCCCCACCACACAGGCTCTTGTTTGCCCATCACTATGGCTGACCTCCCTCTCCTCTCCAACCCTCCCCTCTGGTTCCCCCCTTTCTCCTGCACCCTCTCATTCCCACTATTTACCTTTTACCGTGTCTATGCTGCTCCTCACAGTCCATATGCCCAGACTAGCCTGCTGAACCATAAAGTGGCAGCCATCATGCCTGAGGATATGGCTTCAGTCTCACTGAAAACATTGGGAGATGGCAGCCGCTTTTATTTAGGGCAGCCTCACTTCAACTTGCAGATTGTCACTTCCCTGCAGTCTACCATCTTGCAGTCTTCAGTTCCATTGACAACAATCAGACATGGTGGCCATTTTGAATAAGGAAAATTTAATCAGTTGGCAGCCTTCCATCTTGTTTTCAAGAGACAGGCAAAAAAACACCCCCCAAATTGATAAAAACAACAAGAGTTGGCAATACTGGTATTATTACATCAGGCCCCATGCAGTTCTGTCTTTATGCCTGTAGCCACAGCAGTGCTGAACAGTTTCACAATGCTGTAGGTGCACCACAGGGAATGCATTATGTACAACCACCACCTAGATAGCACCTACATGACTGCCCCTCTGTTGGAGGGGGTATGCATTCTAATTTTCATATCCTGCAAGAAGACTAGCTTGGAGAAAATAAATATTCTTAATTTACTTTAGAAAAGGAAAAACACTCTTCTATCACATTATCAAGACAATCTATCAGACTATGGTGTCACTTTTAAGTCCTTCAGGATAAAGCTGCTAAGATAACCACAGACTTGCTACAACAAGAGGAAAGAGTGAAGATGGGAGACTAATTCTTAAAGAAAGGCAGAGAAATGGAAGGAATGACAATGAAAGAAAGAAGCAATTTCAAGGAAAAGAAAAGATAAAGTATGTGAACAAAGAGCAGAGAAGAAAACAGCGTCAGAAAAGAAAACAGTATCAGAAAAACTTTTAACTAATGCAGTTTCAGCTCAAAATTTCTACCACTGTAATCCAAGGAGGAAATATCCAGAGTTTAAATATCTATTTATTAATCCCTCCTCCACACCAAAACACATTTGTTATTGTTAAAGTCCTAGGACTCAGAGAGTTGCGTCCTGGGTGGTAGCTGAGATTAACCTACCCCAAATTACAGGTTATATGATATGGAGACCTGTAACCCCTGCACTGGAACCAATTAAATGCCTGGTATACACGGGCAGCAGGTATCAAAGGCCAGGGGAGGCTGAGCATCTCAAAACAGCATTGTGTGGCCCTGCCCATGCTCCACCCCCAGGCCCCTTCCTGCTTCCGAGCACTCTGCAGCTCTTCCCCCATGGCCTGGGCCCTTGGCTGGGGCTAATGGGGGCTGGCCTGCGGCCAGGGACTACAGACGGCTGGAGCCAGTGCATGCACTGCCCACCCACCTGGCACTCGGGGGCAGGAGGCGCTGGGGACTGTGCCACCCGCCTGGCACTCTGGGGCTGGAGGTGCTGGGCTCTGGCAGGGGCAGAGGGGTGGGGCCTTGGGCACAAGGGGCGCGGTGGGGGCTAGCCTGCCTGAGCCCGCGGTTCACCTGCTGCCCATGCTGGTATAGGAAAGTATGAGTGATAAGCAGGTAGCCACCCTCCCCTGTGTCAAAGTTTAAGAAAAGTTGTGGTCTGCCACTTAATTCCATATATGTGTCTATCCTCACTTTGCTGCTGTATCCACATCAATATTGTTCTTTTCATACTTGCCTCCACCCATGACTCTGAGACCACCTCCATGACTCATTAAATGTGCAGTCCTAACTCACTCCATGTTGGGCTTTTACAAGTTTGTGCTCATGGTATAATGGAAGGCATAACTATGTTTGGGGCCAGAACAAGCTTTCGAGTTTCACAGAGCTCTTCCCGTCTGGGGATGGTAACCAGAGCCTTTAAGCTAAATACAAGTTGGGACAAATTGTTACCCATAAGGGGTTCAGGCATACTTGTCTCTTATATCCCGGGACCAACACAGCTACAACAACACTGCAAACAACTAATAACTATAGTTATCCCCCGATGTCCTCCATTTCTCCCTCACAGCCTTATTTTACCTCCAGGCCCACCGCGCACGCGAGCACACACACACACACACACACAGATAGTGACTACTTGAAAAGAATCTGCAGTGAAAGCTTATGAATATAAATTGTTTGCTATTTAAAAGCATACATTTTCAGTGCACAGATTTACACAACTTCCATTGATGTGAATGGGAGTCACAAGGCTAAATCTGTATGTATACCTCTCAAAATATATCCCTAGAGATAAATAATGAAAATTAGATAGTTTTATAAAATTACTGATTTAGTAGTACATTTATAGATACGGCAGTGTCTGAACTATAGACAGTTTCACTTATGGTACATTTAGCAGCAAATGGGGATGTACTGGAGAAGAACACTTCCTAGGATGAATCCAATACCCACTTTGCTGTCTGTGCACTGGAGACTTCCCAGGAAGTATCCTTTACTAGAGTAAACAAATGCACAGAAGAACCCATTTAAAGGAATAAAGAAATACATTTGTTTAAAAAAAATTCAATGCACATTTTTATATAAAAACATAAAACAAAACACTTCATGATTAATACTCAGCAGACCTAATAGTAATTTAGAAGGTTCCCTTCTCCTCCTGACTTCATAAGAACTACAGTATTTCACTGCTTGAGAAATAACTGGTTTACTACCATGTCACTTTTCCTTCTCTTGTTCTTTTTATGTATCTTTTTTGTGATGAATGATAAAAACTATCATTCACCACCTTAAATTTACAGGAATTTAAACTGTTGGTAAGAAAATTATCTTCCCCATAGGAACTTAATAAAATCATATTATGCAAGCCTTCCTACAAAAGCAAAGTGTTGCGGTCCAGTTTTGCTTGAGATGTAATTGCTCACATGTCTGAACAATAACTATTTTACTGTGATTATTTGTATTGCCAATCAGGAATTGGGGCACCATTGTGCGAGGCACTCTACGCTCCTAACAAAAAGGCTATCCCTGTTCCAAAGAGTTTACATTTTAAGTAGGAGCTCATTATTGAAAAGCTTTACTACATCTAGCACTGTCCTCAGAATTGCCAATACCTGTGCTTCAGAGGATGCTGCAAAGTCACTAAAATGTTCTGTGCAATAATAAAATAGAAGGGTAACGATTCTTCCTGACCCCTATTAGCATCAATATCTCAGCGTCACAACAGATCTCATAACTAAGCAGGGTTGAGGTTTGGTAGATACTTGGAAGAGCCTTTAGTAAAGTGTCCTTTAGAAAGCCCAAATGTCAATTCAGTAAAGTGACACACTTCCTTTTGAATCAGTATTGAACAAGTGCTTAAACATGATGGTAGGGGGGAATGATACCAAAAGAGGCATCTTTCAAATTAGAAAAAAATAGGTCCTTACTGCTTGTGGTAATTAAAAGTCCCACAGTAATTTTTACAACAGATAGGAATGCAAGTGTCCTCTAATCTAGGTAATTACATTACCTGCACTCTAAAACAGGGTTTATCAACATGTGGGTCAGGACCCAAAATTGGGTCACCAGAATGTTTCAAAGAGATGCACAGCATTTCCTGTCCTACGGGGCTGGCTGGGCTCGCCTCCCCACTCCAGGCACCTCAACCTCTGGGATTGCAGCACCACCCAGGTTCAGCCCAGCGGTCATGACGACGGGAGTCCGGGTGGGCCAAATTTGAGTGAGGGGCACTGCAACCCCATGAGCAGGTCACAACTCCACTCACACAAATTTGGTCCAATCAGTGCACTGCAACCCCAGAGGTTGCAATGCCTGGAGCGGAGAGTCAAGCTCAGCCAGCCCCACAGCATAGGAGCTTCAGGAGCCGCCATTGTGGGATGAGTCCTGGACAGGAGCCAAACCCCACTTCCCCTGCGGGGGCAGGATCCAACTGAAACCACCCCAGGGCCTCCACCCTCAGACAATTTATTGGGTTACAACAGGCCATAAACATTTACAAATGAGTCCTGAGCCCAAAAAAGGTGGAGAACCACTGCTCTAAAACAAGACCTGAAGTTGGTTTTGAACAGTTGTCCATAGTGCTGTGTACTGTAAGCGCCCAGAAGTCAAACAGGAGACTAATCTACCTCAATAGCTGGAGAAGAGAATAATAAATTTGTAAATATGTTGGGTAAAGTGTATTGGGATCTTTGTGGATGAAAAGCAGTATATAAATGTATTATTCATCACTCCAGCTGGATATCAGCTCATACCCTGCAGTATGAAGATTAAGAGAGTTAGTATAACCGCATACGTTAGTCTCATAAATATAAATGTCTACTTCTGTTCTATTTTTGTCTGCAGTGTTGTTGTAGCAATGCTGGTCCCAGGAATCAGAGACGCAAGGTAGATGAGGTAATATATTTTATTGGACCAACTTTCAATAAAAGATAGTACCTCACTCACCTTTTCTAATCTTGCAAAGCTATTTGCCTCAATACAGTACAAGCTGTTTTATCCAGCATGTTGGGGGAATGGGCGGATGCCAGTAAGTGAAAAATGCTGGTTAACTAAGAGGGAG